TAGTGGACTTTTTTGTGCTTTTTTTTTGTGGTCTGATTTGTGCTTTTTTTGTGGTATGACTTGTGGTTTTTTTTGTGCTTTTTTTTGTGCTTTTGTTTGTGGTATGATTTGTGATGTTTTTGTGCTTTTTTGTGGTATGACTTGTGGCTTTTTTGTGCTTTTTTTGTGGTATGATTTGTGCGTTTTTTTTGTGATTTTTTTTCGTGGTATGATTTGTGCGTTTTTTGCGCTTTTCTTGTGATATGATTTGTGCTTTTTTGGTGCTTTTTTTTGTGGTATGACTTGTGTTTTTTGTTTTTTTTGTGGTATGATTTGTGCTTTTTTTTGTGCTTTTCTTTGTGGTATGACTTGTGGTTTTGTTGTGCTTTTTTTTGTGGTATGATTTGTGCTTTTTTTGTGCTTTTTTTTGTGGTATGATTTGTGCTTTGTTTGTGCTTTTTTGTGATATGATTTGTGATTTTTTTTGGTGCTTTTTTTTGTGGTATGATTTGTGCTTTTTTTTGTGCTTTTTTTTGTGGTATGATTTGTGCTTTTTTTGTGCTTTTTGTGGTATGACTTGTGCTTTTTTTGTGCTTTTTTTTGTGGTATGACTTGTGGTCCAGGGCGGAAAAAAAACACAAAAAAAAGCACAAAAAACCACGGGGATTTGGACAATTTTTTGAAAATTTGGGGCGGGGAGCCGGGAGCGACAAGGTGGGGAGCCGGGAGCGACAAGGTGAGGAGCCGGGAGCGATGGGTGGGGAGCCGGAAGCCAGGGGGTGGAGCAGGGAGCCAGAGCCAATTTGGACTTGGCTCTCATCCTGCTCCCAGTGTAATCACAATCTCCCTTCCTTTCTTTCTTTCCTCTTTCCTTTGGCTGTGAGAGCACGCAATCCTGGCCACCTGCTACCGTTCCAGTCTTGAGCCATCATATCATAATTTGAATTGCCACTTGAGATTGACAAATTAGTGAAGGGATTGGGATGATACTGGTTGTTGTTGGTTTGCAATTATGTTCAGATTTGTGTTCTTTTGAGTTAACCCGCCCACTACTCCAATCATTTTGCGTTTCCTAGACCAGAAATTACAATCCAATTTCCTTTAATGACTTTGAATATGATTATTGTTTTTGGAGGTATGGTTTAAGGGCCCTGACCCTTTACGACTGTTACTGTGGGGGGGCAGGGCCCAAGGCCTACCCTTTAATCCCGGGGGCGGGAGACCATATTATGTTGAAAACTTGTCCAAGAGATGATCTGCAGATAGACAAAGTCAATGAGAGACGCTTCGTACGGTGGTCCGGCGGTCTGACACATTGAATTAACTAAACACTAAACAAACACGTATTCCGAATATACAAGATTTCAGCACCTAGGGGCCTGCATGTTAAGACTCAGTTTCAGTGCAAGACACAATGCTGGAATCACGTGTCGTCCAGTCATCCTACTGTTCCATCTAAATGAAATTAGTAAATTAGTTGATATTTAGTGTTAGTGAATCAGTGTCTGAATCAGAACATCGCCCCATCCAAAGGTCAGACCTTGCCCAACTTTGGCCCTTCAAACACCTGAAGTCGAGAACGCCTGGTATATGCACAGTGCATTCATACATGGTACAGTTGGGATACGGTGCGGGACCCTCTTCATCCTTTTCCAGATCGGGAAACAAACTACCAAGTGGTCAAACCTATTCAGCGCATTAGTTTTTACAAGCGGCTTAACCCGTGCATGTGCCAATTACCTGGAGTTTTGCAGTTCTGGACCGGTGTGTTTGCATGCTGCCTTTCACCATCTGGTTGTCTTTTGTTGCGCGTTGTCGTTTTGTGTTTTGCTTTGGGAGCTTCTCTTACAAACCCCTGCCTATCCCACTGTACAAAAGCCTTTTGTTGCGCCGGACCATGGGTCAATGGGCCATAAAGTGGCAACGATAACTAGTGACAAGGTAAGCTAGGAACGCCCATGACCATACTTCGTTCATTCTGAGGTGTCAAGCAGCAGGGACCCATGGCCATACGAGGTATTGCCGGCTCATCCCTACTAGACCCAAAGCTGTTTGTCCCCTACATCCACTGGCGGAAACTGAAGGGCTACAATGGCTACAATGGCTACAACGCAACCGAGTTGCAACAACCGCATGCAGGAGATCTCCATAGCTGATTTTTGCTTGGGCCAAGGTCATAAAGTCCGGCCTTGCGGAACAAGACGCATGCGCACCGTCCGTACCGTCCGCGCCGCACGACCTTTCAGTGTGGGCGTGTGGGGGTGTAGGTGTGTGCCAACACCTGCTCCCTTGGAACGCTGAAGGGGGGCTGGAGTGCGCTTCAGATGTCTCCAGCCAACGAAGACGCATCTGTTGCACTGCGATATAATTCTGGAACGCCGGAACTACGTACCTGCAAGCATTTGAACCTCCTTTAAAGAGCTATATAATGCACTTTTTTTAAACCTTCTGTTCTTCTGACCCAGCACTTCTTGCGGTTGAATCAAGTCAAGGTCTAATCGGGTGTAACCAACTGATTCAGCTCTTGTGAGCCTTTATCTAAGTGTGTCTCGCCACAGAGTCCCACTGTGGGCTGTGGTGTGATCCCCAGCGAGGGGCGCGTTTTGCACATACCCTCCAGGAGGAAACTTCCAGGAACATCAGCTTGCACTGGAACTTCATCGGCTCATCTGCCCCAGGGCTCACTGAGAACCATTCCAAAGAATGACATACCATGCTGCTAAGTAATCATAGGTCCCGCTAAGTATTCACCTTTTGGTTCTTTTTCTCCTGCTGTTGCTCTTCGTTTTCTAGGTCTTCTTTCTTGCTAAAGGCTTTTTAGGTGTAACCAAGGCCTTTTAGTCAAGAGTGCGCCGACATCGGCTTTCTGTCAAATGCCTTCGGGCCTGAGCTGACAACCCCCCCCCACACACCCCACGCACACCCCTGCACCCTTTCGTTCGTTGCCTTTTTTCGTTTGCTTGGCCTTACTTTCAGGCTTGTTAGGTCGGCGTTTAGGCTCGTTCAGTCAACGCACACCCGGGCCCCCCCACGCACCCCTTGCACCTTTCTTGTCTTTTCTTTCCTTGCCTTTTTCGTTTGTCTTGTTCTTTCTTTCAGGCTTGTTAGGTTGACATCCAGGCTCGTTTAGTCAACGCACTCCTACACCCCCTTCCCCCCTTCCCCTTCCCGCGGAAAAAGAGAGTGCGCCGTTCCGGCTTTTTGTGAGTGTGTGTGTGTGTGTGTCAACACCTGTTCCAAAGGAACGTGCAGGGGGCTGGAGTGTGCTTCAGATGTCTCCAGCCAACAAAGACGCATCTGTTGCACTGCGATATAATTCTGGGACGCCGGAACTACGTACCTGCAAGCATTTGAACCTCCTTTAAAGAGCTATATAATGCACTTTTGTTAAACCTTCTGTTCTTCTGACCCAGCACTTCTTGCGGTTGAATCAAGTCAAGGTCTAATCGAGTGTAAAGGTCTAATTGCAGTAATCCGGATTTTCACCAACTGATTCAGCTCTTGTGAGCCTTCATCTAAGTGTGTGTGTGTGTGTGTGCGCGAGACGAACTCAGAAAAACGCAACGACAAAGCTAGCCAAGCAAATGGCTTTGCACGGCCCCAGTTGCAAATAGAGCTTCGCGAAAGGACTGGCACTTAGGGGAATGACCACCATTGTGGCAAAGAAGCTTTCAAGAGTGTAAGAGAAGGGAATAGCAAATGACGAAGTGCCACTGGTGGCATCCTCGCCGGAAAGACCATTTATCCAAGTGGCGGTTTCTCACCGGAGCTTGTCAGGAGCTGTCCAATCTTCACACCAAGTTGTTGCCTTGGCGGTTGCGGGCACCAAGGTGCAGCTACACATATAGACTTTTTACAATATAAGTTCAAACCTTAGCAATTTGATCGCGTCGCACTGGTCTGAAAATATGGAACCCCCCACTGGGTTGCTTCATCTATCTTCCCCGCTAGGACTAGGTTTGGAACAGACCGAAACGAACTCCACAAGGCAGGCTGCTGGTGACGAACAGCCCCGAAAGTCGCCAGACTGCTTTTCCCTGCGTGCCAGGGTGCTCAGCCTCTTCTTTCAAGTCCTTCAAATGGCGGTCCGGAGATGGATCACCTGGATCCGGACAGACCGTCGTTCCTTCGCCCTCGGGGTGAACTGATCGATTCGATGTAGTCAAACGTGGCTCCCATCTTTTGAACTTCTTTGACCCGGTCGCATACCTTGCTCCGCTTCTTGTGGTATCGGAAGTGGAGTACACACTTTGATAGGTTTGGCACAGTTCTTGGTCAAGCTGGCTCCTTTTGCTGTCGCTTCATTTACTTCAACGTATTTAGAAGGCCCGCCCATGGACTGCTGTCGGGAGGGAGCGAGGAAACGAGGAAGAGAGAGAGAGAGAGCTCTCTCGTTCTCTCTCTCTCTCTCTCTCTCCCTCGTTCTCTCTCTCTCTCTCTCTCTCTCTCTCTCTCTCTCTCTCTCTCTCTCTCTCTCTCTCTCTCTCTCTCTCTCTCTCTCTCTCTCTCTCTCTCTCTCTCTCTCTCTCTCTCCCTCTCTCTCTCTCTCTCTCTCTCTCTCTCTCTCTCTCTCTCTCTCTCTCTCTCTCTCTCTCTCTCTCTCTCTCTCTCTCTCTCTCTCTCTCTCTCTCTCTCTCTCTCTCGTTCTCTCTCTCTCTCTCTCTCGTTCTCTCTCTCTCTCTCTCTCTCTCTCTCTCTCTCTCTCTCTCTCTC